AGATCAAGAACAAGGTAAAGATGTCCCTTCTCACCACTGTTTTCAACATTTTACCTGAAGTCCTAGCTAATACAATAAGACAAGAAAAGGAAATAAAAGAGATACAGATTAAGAAGGAAGATTCAAAACTGTATCTGTTCACAAATGACATGACTGCCTATACGGAAAGTCTAAAAGAATCAACAGCAACAAAAATCCTCGAATTAATAAGCAATTGTAGAAAGGTTGCAGGATACAAGGTTAATATTCCAAAGCAAATCATCTTCCTATATACCAGCAAATGGAACAAGTGGAATTTGAAATTGCCACTTACATTAGCCACCTGCTCCAAAATAAAACATTTATTTATTCTTGATATAAAATATCATATGAACAGGGGTGCCTGGGTGGCTCAGTCAGTTGAGTGTCCGACTTCAGCTCAGGTCATGATCTCGCAGTCAGTGAGTTCGAGTCACGTCGGGCTCTGTGCTGATAGCTCAGAGCCTAGAGCCTGCTTTGGATTCTGTCTCCCTCTCTCTCTGCCCCTCCCCTGCTCACACACTGTTCTCTCTGTCTCTCAAAAATGAATAAACATTAAAAAAATTTTTTTAATAAAAAAAGAAATATCATATGAACAGACCTCAATGAGAAAAACTATAAAACTCTGATGAAAGATATCAAAGAAGAACTAAATAGAGAGCTATTTATTTCATGTTCACGGGTAGGAAGACTAACTATTGTCAAGATGCCAGTTATTTCCAACTTGATCTGTAGATTCAACACAATCCGAATAAAAATTCCAGCAACTTATTTTATGGATATCAACAAACTGATTCTAAAGTTTATATGAAGAGACAAAAGACCCAGAATAGTCAACTCAGTATTGAAGGAGGAGAACAAAGTCAAAAGACTGACAATACCCAACTTCAAGACAGTGTGGTACTGGTGAAGGAATTGACAAAAAGGTCAATGAAACAGAACAGAGAACCCAGAAATAGACCCATAAATATAACCAACTGATGTCGGGGGCACCTGGGTGGCTCATTCAGTTGAGTCCAACTCTTGATTTCGGCTCAGGTCATGAACTTACAGTTCGTGAGTTCGAACCCCACGTTGGGCTCCCCACGGATAGTGCAGAGCCTGCTTGGGATTCTGTCTCCCTCTCCCTCTGCCCCTCCCCTGCTTGCACTCTCTCTCAAAAATAAATAAACTTAAAAAAAATATATATATATATATATACATACATACATATACATATATATGTATATGTATGTATATTCATATATACATATATATATATATATATATACACACACACACATACACACATACACACACACACACATCCAACAGATTTTTGACAAAGGAGCAAAGGTAATACAATGAAGCAAAAAAATTCTTTTCAATACATGGTGCTGGAACAATTGGACATCTACATACAAAAAAATGAATTTAGATATAGACCTACATTATTCACAAAAACTAACTCAAAATGGATCATAGACCTAAACATAAAATTCAAAATTATAAAACTCCTAGGAGATAACATAGGAGAAACCTTAAATGACCTTGGATAAGGTCATGATTTTGTGGATAGAACACCAAAGGAATGATCCATGAAAGAAATAATTACTAAGCTGGGCTTCATTAAAGTTAAAAACTTCTGGGGGCCCCTGGGTGGCTCAGTCAGTTGAGCATCTGACTCTTGGTTTCAGCTCAGGTCATGATCTCACGGTTCAAGAGTTTGAGCCCCACCTCAGGGTCTATGTTGAGGGCTCAGAGCCTGCTTGGGATTCTGTCTCCTCTCTCTCTCTGCCCCTCCCCTGCTCTCTTTCTCTCTCTCTCTCTGTCTTTCTCTCTCATGCCTGTGTGCACACACTCTTTCTCTCTCAAAATGTTTGCTTAAATAAACTTTAAAAAATTTAAAAACTTCTGCTCCGCAAATGACAATGTCAAGAGAATGAGGAGATGGGCTACAGATTGGGATAAAATATTTGCAAAAGATACATCTGATAAAGGACTGTTGTCCAACATATATAAATTCTTAAATCTCTACAATATGAAAATTAATAATCTGAATTGAAAATGGGCAAAAGTCCTGAACAGATACATCACCAAAGAAGATATACAGATTGCACATAAGTATACGAAAAGATGCTCAACATCGTATGTCAGCAGGGGAATTAAAACTAAAACAAAGATGAGATACCACCTGTATAGGAAAAACCTCACAGTCCTCCTATATATTTATCCTTTACTCTCACATGACTACCACACTCACAATGCTTTTGACACCAGATGTGTGGGGTTTTTTTCCCTACACCAGGCAATTCTGCAACACCGACTGGGTGTCCTGTAATTTACCTCAATTCTGACACTATCCAGTCAGAGATACGGTCAGATCCCACAGGTGAAGGGCTCACTCCCACAAGACTTCCTCCACTTCAGATGCCAATCACAAGTCGTAGGTACCCAGGTTACCCACAACTTTATCCAACTGTCTACAGATCGAAGTTCCCATGATCTCCTCCTCCTTGGGTTTGATTAATTTGCTAGAACAGTTCACAGAACTCAGGAATATATTTACCAACATTTACCAGTTTATTAAAGGATATGATAAAGGATACAGACGACCAGCCAGGTGAAGAGATACATAAGGTGAGGTCTGGGAGAGTCCCAAGCTTCCATCCCTGTGGAGTTGGGGTGCATCACCCTCCTGGCATGTGGATGTGTTTACCCACCTGGAAGTTTCCCAAACCTCATACTACTGGGATTTTTGTGGAGGCTTCCTCATGGAGGCACTAATCATTAAGTCCATTTCTATCCCCTCTCCCTTCTCTACAGAATGGGGGGATGGGGCTGAAAATGCTAAGCTTTTAACCATGGTCTTTATAGTGACCAGTTCCCACCCAGAAGCCATCTATGAGCCCACCCAGAGTCACCTCATTAGAGCAAAAGGCATTCGCATCACCCAGGAAATTCGAAGGGGGATGTAAGATCCCTATGTCAGGAACCTGGGTCAAAAATCAAATATCAGAACAAAAGATGCTCCTAGCACTCTTATGTCAGGAAATTACAAGGGGTTTAGGAGCTCTGTGCCAGGAACCAGGGACAGAGACCAATATGTATTTTTTCTGTTATTTCACACCACCGCACACCTATTAGAATGGCCAAAAGCCAGAGCACTGACAACACCAAATGCTGATGGTGCAGAGCCACAGGAGCTCCCACTCATTGTTGGTGGGAATGCAAAATGGTGGAGACACTTTGATGACAGTTTGGCAGTTCCTTACAAAACTAAATACATTCTTGCCATAATTCCAGCAATTGTGCTCCTTGGCATTTACCCAAATGAACTGAAAACACGTCCACGCAAAAACCTTCCTGTTGGTGTTTACAGCAGCTTTATTCATAACTGCAAAAAACTTGGAAGAAATTAAGATGTCCTCCAGTTGGTGAATGGATAAACAAACTATGGTTCATCCAGACAGTGGAATAACATCCAGTGGTTTAAAAAGTGGTGGGGGAGGGGCGCCTGGGTGGCTCAGTTGGTTAAGCTGCCAGCTTCGGCTCAGGTCATGATCTCAGTTCGTGAGTTCGAGCCCCGTGTCGGGCTCTGTGCTGACAGCTCAGAGCCTGGAGCCTGCTTCAGATTCTGTGTCTCCCTCTCTCTCTGCCTCTCCCCATTTGCATTCTGTCTCTCTGTCTCTCTCTCTCTCAAGAATAAATAAACATTAATAAAAGATTTTTTTAAGGGGGAAAAAAGGAGCTTTCAAGCCATGAGAAGACATGGAGGAAACTTAAATACAGATTACTAAATGAAAGAAGCCAATCTGAAAAGACTACATATTGTATGACTTGAACCACATGACATTCTGGAAAATGCAAAACTATGGAGAGAGTGAAAAGATCAGTGGTTGCCAGGAGCTAGTGGGGAAGGATAGTTGAATAGATGGAGCACAGAGGATTTTCAGGGCAGTGAAACTACTCTGTGTGATACCACAACAGTGGATGCGTGTCATTATACGTTTGTCAAAACCCATAGAAGGTACAACACCAATGGTAAACCCTAATGAAAACCATGGACTTTGGATGATAATGATAATAATGGGACAGTGATTAGAACAGATGTGCCCCTTTGGTGCAGGATGTTAATAGTGGGAGAGGTTGTATATGGGTGGGGACAGGGAACATATAGGAACTCTCTCTACTTTTCGCTCAGTGTTTCTGTGAACCTAAAAAACAAGTTTATTAATTTAAAAAATTACTTATGCATAGGAATATAACCCTTTGATTATTTGATTGCAAAAACGTGTAAGCAATCTTACAGCCTGAAGGCAGAGAAACGGTTATAGGAATTACATCCCACGACCACTCAGTTCTAGCTGTGAAGTATTTATAATGAGCACGGCAAACGCCGAGAAATTTAAAGAAAAAAAAAGCGGGTATATATAATTGTATGAATGGAATGATAAAATCATGCATTGCAAAAAGTCCAGGAGTAACCTGCTGCAATGTTAGCAGCGAGTTGTCTTTGGGTTTCAAATTTTGCTTTTATTAGTGTGTATTCTTTTTATTTTTATTTTTTTAAACATTTACTTATTTTTGAGAGACCGAGACGGACAGAGCATGAGTGGGGAAGGAATGGAGAGAGAGAGAGGGAGACACAGAATCCAAAGCAGGCTCCAGGCTCTGAGCTGTCAGCACAGAGCTTGATGCAGGGCTTGAACCCATGAACCGTGAGATCATGACCTGAGCCGAAGTAAGATGCTCAACTGACTGAGCCACTCAGGCGCCCCAAATGTGTATTCTTTTTATTGTAAAACTCGGGAGAGAAAACTTAAAAACACAGAAATCGATAGCAAACAGAAATCACCCAGAACCCCATTACCTGGAGGTAAGAGAGATCACCTTCAGTTGTGAGACAGTGGGTGATTTTCTTTTCTTTCTGTTCTACTATTTGTAGATTTTCTACCAGGAGTAGGAAATTTAATGTCCTTTAAAATAATCCTCTTAGGGGAGCCTGGCTGGCTCAGTCGGTAGAGCACGAGACTCTTGGTCTCGGGGTCGTGAGTTCGAGTCCCATGTGTGGCATAGAGTTTACTCAAAATTAAAAAAACTAAAAACTAGTAATAAAACAAAATCATCCTTTTCAGGCATCCGTTCTAAGGCCACCAACAGACTCTCCGCAGAATCTTCCAGTTTCAGTGGGTCTCTCATCTCTGCCTGTGCTCTTGTTTGTGTCTGTTTTAGCATGGGACATAGTTTCCTCCATGCTTACTAACAGTGTGCTTGCATTTCCCTCACTTATTGCAAGCAGAGATGAGTCTTACCCTTTTTTATATTCTAGCTCTGTATCAAGAAATTTACCGGGGCCTCCGGGTGGCTCAGTCGGTTAAACATCTGCCTCTTGGCTTTGGCTCAGTTAATGATCTGAGCTTGAGCCCCCCTCAGCTCTGTGTTGACAGTGCAGAGCCTGCTTGGGATCTTCCCTCTCTCTCTGCCCCTCTCTTGCTCGCTCTCTCTCTCTCTCTCAAAATAAATAAGTAAACTGAAAGGAAGGAAGGAAGGAAGGAAGGAAGGAAGGAAGGAAGGAAGGAAGGAAGAAGGAAAGAAAGAAATTTACTTATTAAATGTCGCTGGCCAGTTTCTTCGTGTGCCCTCCCCCCAGCCAACACAGTGAATGCTCAAAGAGGATCCACCTTCTTTTAGGGGAGTTTAATGGCCTAAATCTCTCCCAACTTCCTAGCTGGACTGTTGATCCATGTCTCCTTCCCACAGACCGGGACACAAAGGGCAGGGCATTTTTTTCCAGAAGGGCCCCAGTCATAATGCACCTTTGTAAGAAGAAGCAACCTTTGCACTGGCTCCAATTAGTATTTTCAGAGAAATCCGTTTATCAGATTAAATAGTTGGCACTAACATACAGAATCTGACCCTGGGACAGAGATATAGGAAAACTGAGGTGGGGTGGCGAGCAGGAGTGGGGGTGGGGGTGGGGGCAGAGCAAAGATCTGGCTGGTGGGGAACAAACAGTGTGAGTGTTCTGGGGTAGACGAGGCAGACTGGGGGCAAGACAGGCAGGAGGGCAGGGACTGGGTTGGGGCAGCCCAAACTGGGGAGACCAATAAAATAAATTTCACCTGCTTTACCAAAGAGCTCAGAGCCGCAGTGTGAGACAAAACCCAGGGGCAGTAGGAGAACCAAGCAGGACACCAAGAACAGTCTCAATCTGTCATTTTAGGATTTCAGGTGATCGTTTCTTTTCTGTCCCTAATGATGACGATATCCACAATTATATAGTGCCACTGGTCTATGCTTTTCATTGTATTAACTTGATCAACCTAAAAAACCAGAAGAGATTGGTATCACTATCTTTATGTTACAGAGGAGGAAACCGGCACAAAAAGATTAAGTAACTTGTCCAAGTTCCCGCACCCAGACGTGGACAACCTAAAGTGTGAACCTATCAGAACCTGTGCCCAGCCACGCCGACTGCTCCCCAAGTGCTAAGAGGGCACAAGGAGATCTTCCCTTCCAAGATGAGGCCCCTGGGGCCTCTGCTCAGCCCTTTCGCTTTTCCTTTCTGGTTCTCCAGGAGGAAGCAAAAGGGCTGGAAAGCCTGGAGCACTGAGGTGATTTTTCCTTGCCTTCAGGACCGTTTAAAGGTGACCCATGAACAAGCTCTTAGAAAGAAAGAAAGAAAGAAAGAAAGAAAGAAAGAAAGAAAGAAAGAAAGAAAATGAGATCCTCCCACCCCTAACTGTGTCCTATTCAAAAGCTCCCCTTGTATCAGCCTACCCAGCCATTGAGTTTAGTTTAGCCTTGCAAATAACCTCTAAGCAACTCCTGGAGCCCAGGGAAGTTCAGGCATTTAAAAAATACTTATTGTAGGGGAGCCTGGTTGGCTCGGTCAGTAGGGCATGAGATTCTCGGTATCAGGGTCATGGGTTCGAGCCCCACATTGGGTGTAGAGCCTACTTAAAAAAAAAAATACAGGGGCGCCTGGATGGCTCAGTCGGTTAAGCATCTGACTTCAGCTCAGATCATGATCTCATGCTTCATGAGTTCAAGCCCCACATCAGGCTCTGGGCTGACAGCTCAGAGCCTGGAGCCTGTTTCGGATTCTGTGTCTCCCTCTCTCTGCCCCTCCCCTGTTCCTGCTCTGTCTCTCTCTGTCTCTCAAAAATAAATAAATATTTTAAAAAATAATAAAAAAGATACTTATTGTATACTTACTATGTGCCAAGCACTGGTCTAGGTGCCAAAATAATTTTGGGGCTGAAAGGATTATTACAGTAAACAAGATGGCAGAAAAATTTGAGGGTCTCCTCAAGCAGGGATGAAACACATGGGACGACTGAGGTGGACTCCCCTTTGCTCCATGGCCCAGGCCTTTCCAAGCTAGGAACAGGTCAGGAGTGGCTGATGTAAAAATGTCTCTGAGACAGGAGATGCTTAATAGAGGGCTTTCAGACACACTGACACCACAAGATGGAAGGGGCCTGGATCCCTGAGCCACTCCTTGGAGGTTCTGAGGTGAAAACAGCTGTCCGATGTTATGTAACCTGTTACAGTAAAGTCTGTCGTGTTGGGAGAATGACAGACAACAGTTCTGGTATGTTCGGTGGAACTGTGGAAATGGGCTTCCCGCGGTCTGGGAAGCCCACCTTGGTCACCCTCTTCCCCACAGGGCTCATCTCTTCTGTAGCACCTTGTTTGAATTTCTACAATGGCACTTCTAGTGGATGTTTTAGGGTCAGCCTTCTATTGGACAGTTAGCTCCTTAAGGGTGGGGCTTAAGTTAAGCCCATCACTCAGGTGCTCAAGAAACTGAGATGATTCGGTGGGGAGAAAGGAAGAACAATGTAGCTTTGGACATAACATCTAAACTGATGATAAGATACCCAAGTGGTCCTACTCTGCTAGCATTTTATTTTTTTAATGTTTATTTGTTTGAGAGAGAGAGAGTGCATGTGCATGCGAGTGGCGGAGAGGGAGAGAGAGAATCACAAGCAGGCTCTGTGCTAATAGAGATCAATGCAGGGGCTTGATCTCGCGAACCATGAGATCATGACCTGAGCCAAATTCAAGAGTTGGACACGTAACCAACTGAGCCACCCAGGCACCCCTCCGCTAGCATTTTAAATCAGGGCTTCAGGCTCAGGTAAGAGGTTAGAGGTACTTTGGAATGTCAAAAAGTGTCAACATTGAGAATTCTAATAGCAGAAGAGATCCTGGAGCTCAAGATCATGGTAGCCAGGCACTGTGCCGAGCTCTTTTCATCGTTATTTTACTCCATTCTCAGAGCAACTCCAGGAAGTAGTTACTATAATTGCAACTTCAAAGACGAGGAAGCCGAGACTTAGGTTATAATGGTCACATACTGGTAAGTTGAAAAGCTAGAATTCAGATACAAGCAAGGGCAACACAATAAGCATAATCATAATCATAAAGACATTGATTTACTTTTTTTTTAATTTTAAAAAAATTAAAAAAAAACCTTTTTTTAGTAGGCTTCATGCCCAGTATGAGCCCAATGTGGGGCTTGAACTCATGACTGTGAGATCAAGACTGAGCTGAGATTAAGAGTCAGATCTTTAACTGACTGGGCCACCTCAGGTGACTCTCAGGTTAGTATTAGTGAATACCTAGGATGCCCCAAATAATTTAGTACCTTTTTTAAGTAAACTCTACGCCCAACATAGGGCTTGAACTCCTAACTCTGAGATCAAGAGTGATGTGCTCTACCAACTGAGCCAGCCAGGTGCCCCTAATTTAGTACTTTTAATACATTTATATCTTGCAACCATCCTATAAATAGTATCTACAAATGCAAAAGTATATAGTTCTACTAACCAACTAAGCTCTTAACCACTACAGCTTTAAGTAAGCGTTTGGGGACACTCACTATTAAAGGCTAGAAAGATAATAATTTGCAGAACACTTCACAGTTTGCAAAGTGATTTCACATATCTTACGTCATTTGATTCTCACAACACGATGAAGGGGGATGGGGAAGGCAAGTGTTTTGATACCCAATTGAAAGATGAGGAACCTAAGACTCCAGGATACAATCAAGATTAGAACGGGGGTCTTATGACTTCTAATCCAGGCATCATTAAAAGCATAAGTAGAGGGGGGCTCCTGGGTGGCTCAGTCGGTTGAGCATCCAACTTCAGCTCAGGTCATGATCTCATGGTTCACGGGTTTGAGCCCCTTATTGGGCTCTGTGCCGACAGCCCAGAGCCTGGTGCCTGCTTCAGATTCTGTCCCTTTCTCTGTCCCTCCCCCATTGTGCCTGCATGCTCTCTCTCTCAAAAATAAACATTAAAAAAAAAAAACACCTTTTTTAAAGTATAAATAGAAAAGAAATTATACATAGACAGGCTGAAAGTTAAATGATGGAAATAATATGCTAAATAAATACTAAATGAAAAGAAGTTTATGCCAAATATTAACATGGGATAAAAGAGGGGCACCTGGCTGGTTCAGTCGGTAGAGCATCTGACTCTTGATCTCAGGGTCATGAGTTCAAGCCCCACATTGGGCATGGAGCCTACTTAAAAACAAAAACAAAACAAAAACATGGGATAAAAAAAACACTAAAACAAAAAGTATTATAAAAGATAGGCACCATGTGATTTGAAAACGTGCCATGGGGGCACCTGAGTGGTTCAGTCCGTTAAGCATTCAACTTCGGTTCAGGTCATGATCTCGAGGTTTGTGAGTTCAAGCCCCACATTGGGCTCTGTGCTGACAGCTCAGGGCCTGGAGCCTGCTTCAGATTCTGTGTTGCCCTCTCTCTCTGTCCCTCCCCAACTCATGCTCTGTTTCTGTCTCTCTCTCTCAAAAATGAATAAACATTAAAAAAACATTTTAAAAAGTGCTATAATAATTTGTTTCCTAGAATACAATATTCTAAATCTATATATCCCACACTAAAAAACTTTAAAATATATAAAGCTAAACTTGACAAAACTGTAAGGAGAAACTGATAAATCCACATCAGGGTAAGAGTACATGGTTTAAAAGTATATTTATTTGTTGGGAATGCAAGCTGGTGCAGCCACTCTGGAAAACAGTATGGAGAT